AGTGGCGCTTGGAGCGCCGGTGAGGGGAGAGGAACTGGACAGGTGCGTCGGCGAGGTGATGGAGGGGGAGAGAGCGGAGAAGATAAAGGGGAAGGTTCTTAAATGGAAGGAGGCTGCGAGGGAGGCCGTGGGTGGTTGCGGATCGTCGGAGAAGAACCTCGAGGCGTTTGTGGATGAGGTTGTAAGAAGAGCAGCGGGTTGATCGATGTTATCCATTTATTTTTTTTTTAGTTATTAATTTTGATTTGAAATGGGGAGATGTAAAAATCTTCTGCATAAAATTTTAAAGCTGAACTAAATAAATGGAGCTTAAATGATATCATCACTGAGTATGGCAGAAGCTAAATCCTACTTGGAAACAACCAAAAAAAATTTAGATTTATGTCTTCGACAAATTAAGATAACCACTGCTTATCCTAAACTAGAACAGAGAGAGTAAGGTTGTTCAGCGCATCATAGTTAGATCCGTAATAGCAACATATAGCAAGAGCAGACTAGATGGTTACATCAGCGTAACATAATAAATAGGAAAACAACTTAAAGCCCTTTAATCCAAAAATTGTTTGAAAGAAAATGGTTCTCTCACTTTTATAACCACTCTCAGCATTCCATACTAGAAAGTGCAAATAAATAGCTATTTTTTTCTGAAAAAATAAGTACGTACGTAGCTCCTAATCAGCACCATAAAGTTTCAAATAACTCAAAATAGCATGACATATCAGTTAAACACTGAAGTAGACGTGTCAACACAACACAAGTAGATGACATGTTAATTGTTGTCAAGATAATATTTAATTGGCAAAATACAAAACATGTAAACTAACTAAAATCTTAAAGCAAAAGCTATAAACCCCAATATAAACAAACTTGCAAAAGCGGCTATTCTATACTCCCAATCTTAGAATTTTTCTCATGTTTTGGTGCTTCCTCTCTTGCCATTCTATACTCCCGATCTTAGAATTCCTCTCATTTTTTGGTGTGAAATATGAATTACACAATATAGACTAAATAAAGAGGACACAGTGAAAAATATCTATTATGAGAAAGGAAAAAAAAACATTTTAGCTGATTGAATGCATAACCAATATGACAACATATCAAGAGGGCATAAACTAACAAGAAATAAGAATTACACGACTATCTTAGAATTATCCGTGTAGATACACAGGCTTAGGGTCACTGTGCAGTTACACCATACCTCACGATACTGGAATGACTTAAAAAAGGATAACGTGGGAGATCGACCTTGACAAAACTGAATGAAAAAATAGCTATTCATGTAGCCACCCGCAAAATTTTAAGATAAAGACCTCACCCAAAAATTTAGGATAAAGGCCTCGTTGTTGTATAATGATGAGCTTGAAGAAGAACCTCGCCAAGTTGCACGTTAAGAATCCCGTATACAATTGATCAATGGTATTGGGTTTGTTTATTGCATATTTTGATGCGACGTTACCAAAGAATCAGCTTGTGAAGTTCCAAACCATCTAAATTTGGCACTCGAGTTGTCATCTCTGACTTCAGAGCAAGGTTATAATATTGTGAACAGAGATGCTTGAGATCAAGTATATCAGTCAACACGAACAACATTTGATATAATTTAATGAAACCAAATTCATTGTATCAACCTACAACTGAAATCATTTGCATTAGTCTTCATATCTGAATACAACAAAATTGTCATGAGAACTGAAAATTCTCTATCCTTTGTATATGTTTTAAGATTGAAGTGTTTAGATTTCTACTACTGTCTCTCAAAGATGCCTTTGACATAAACCATCCCTTTCTCACTGAGCCCAAGCTCCTTCCTCATCCTCTCTACTTGCTCGTCATCTCCACGAACAACAATCTCTGACAGGCTCCCGTCCTCCCCCACTATCATTTTCACCTTGATCTCCTCTTTCCTCGACGCTTTCGTCCAGTAATAAACTCCCCTGTAATGAATTTCATAGAAAAAATTCAGAATTAAGACATCAAACAAGGGATATGGCACGTGATACAGACACATTATACACGATTTCCCAAAAAAGAAGAAGAAGATATGCATTATGTATATTCATATGTTTGTGTGTACTTATATATGTACTGTATTCTTATTTTCTTATTTGTATGTGAGAACTTAAAATTGAAGCAATTAAGGAAGATGCAATAACCATTAAGTTAAAGGAGGAGATGATCCATAAAAAGAAATGAATGGAAGAATATGATTTATGTTGCCTACACCAAAAGTTTGGGATAACAGTTCTTGTAGTTATTGTTCAAGCAATTGAAATAATTTTATACAATAAGCAAACTAAAGTTCATACTAGTAGAGTGTAAGCTTTTACTAAATATAATTCTTATTTAGTGTAGTCTTAACTAAATACAATTCAAGATTTATATATTTCAAACTTAGGTAAGTTAACATATAAATTATTCTTAAAAAGCCAATCATTCAAGTAACAAAAACCAATATCAGCGTTTTTTGTGCAAATTAAATGATTATTAGAAAAGTTCAAAATTGTGCCATAAGTGTTATAAATATGATGTTCTGAATACTGAAACCATTTTCCATATCTTCAACACAGTATGACGCCGTCCATCCAAAAAAAAAGGGGTATGACCTCGATGACAATAACTTTTAGCACAAGATTTGAGCTAGACTTACGCTAAAGGGCTCAAAGCAGTGAGCCAGAACCAGTTGTTGCCGCCTTCAGGGACTGCGATGGAGAGGACGAGAGCGACGCTGCCGAGGCTTATGCAAGTGCAGAAGGTGAGCAATGCTGCTTGGCCTCTGCTTGGAACCATCATCCCTTCAAACCTTTAGGTAGCAATAGAACTTATCAGAGATGATGAATGACTGGGATTCAAACATGAGAACAGAACCATGGATATTACACTGAGGAAGTATAATTCATCTGAGAGAATATATAATTCTTTTGATCAAACAAGATAAACTTGTATCTGAGTGATGCATACTCATGCATAAAACAATGCATATCTTATGAACGCGCTTGTTCAGCTTTACTATGGTTTCAAAGAATGTCATATATGTTCCTTAATCTGATCAATAACATCACACTGGAGCTCCCGTACTCTCTCAAGTATATAAAGGAGCAAGGATAATTGCACTACAAGAGTTATACTACTCTCCTTTCTTATAAATTGCAAAGTGAAATAATGAGTTGCTATGGACTCCGCTTCCATGTCTCTAGGAATACTAGAGTAGGACAACTCTCATGATAATGTAGACTGTGAACACTTACAATCCAAGATCTACATGTTTGAAAACTATAGTGCATTAAATTATTGCTCAATGCATCAAATAACTTAGGACAAATTTTCAAAACAGTCCTATTTACAAAAAAAAGTTCCCAAAAACAACCTCATTTGAAAATAATTGTCAAAACCGACCAGTTTCAGCTGTCGGGATAAAACTGGGTCGGTTTTGATGAAAAAAAAGTCCGAAACTTCACGGGTGAAGTTTAGCAGCTTAATTAAATGGCTGCTAAACTTCACGGGACTTCAAGTCCTGGGAAGTTTCATCGATTTTTAGACAAAACTCTACGGGACTTGAAATCCCGTGAAGTTTCAAACTTTTTTTCGTCAAAACCGACCCAGTTTCAGCCCGACAGCTGAAACTGAGTCGGTTTTGACAATTATTTTCAAATGAGGTCGTTCTTTTAGTTTTCAAAATGGGACTGTTTTGAAAATTTGTCCAATAACTTATCCATAATCAATCCATAGTCTTGAGTCTTATGTATCTAATAATGAATTTGGATGCTCTCTTGCTTCTTGTCACAATTCTACGTTTATGTTCAGGACATATACGTCATTCTTATTCTAACTATAACGCGCCTATATCTCAATCAATTTCATTTCTAATTCGAAACAGATTACAATAATTTATTTATTTAATAAAAAAATAAATAAATAAACTCAACTACTGAATGAAATCAATTGACCGACTCACGTGATGGTCTCTCCTCGGTCGGCGACGGCGAAGTTATTCCTCGTGAAAAACGACAGGATCTCTCCCGCCACCTGATTCGGCGGCGCCCCTCCCCCTTCATTCTTCACGTACGCCTTCTGCACCACCTGCACGAAAACACCGAATTTACACAAACACATCCTCATAATTTTTTTTAATTGCGAAAAGCACCTCGGCAGGATATAAAATTGCTTCTGACCCCCCCACGCACCTTGGACTTGACAGAGCGCTTGATGAGGGACCAGAGCCCGGGGACCGAGATGACGAAGAGTCCCAGCGACGTGTAGTAGCTCGC